AGAAGTGGGTAAAACAGTCATGAAAGGTCTTCGGGATCAAAGGCCTGCATCATCCAGCTTTTTTGATCACTGCTTTACCCAAAGGAAGCTTCCTTTCCTTTTTGCTAAGCTCCATGGCTTCACAAAAAGCAAGGAAAAGTGGCGGTCAAAGGGAGCCTTTTGATCCCTGCTTTTCCCTTCCTTTTGCAAAGCTCTGTGGCTTAGCAAAAGGGAGGGAAAAGCAGGGATGAAACTTTCCAAATTGGGGTTAGAAAAGGGGTGGCCGTCTTACACATTGGGTTGTAAATGGAAAAATACGGTAGCTGCTGCTTTCAATTTCCCACCCATTTTCAATTTCCCAATATCATTTAAGTGGCCTAAGCAGACAGTGGAGCTACTTTAAAATAAGAACTTCCTCTGCTCTTCTGTGTGTGTGTGGTGGGGGGAGGATGCTGAGTTTTAAAAGCCTAGTTAGTATGTGGGAGGCTCTATACATTTTAGGGGGAAAAATGTAAAGCTTCTTCCTGAAAGGAGGGAGTTAGAGGAAAGGACAAAGAGAGGAACATTTTGGTGCTTGTTTTCTTTTTTACTTTCCCTTTAAAAGAAGGCAGGCTGAATAGGGTCGCTTGAGGTGCATGTGCCATATGGATACAATGAGAATAAATATGATCAGAATGAAACAGTACAAATTGAAACAGAGGATAAATATGTGGTGACAGCAATTGTTTCTTGCCCTTGCATACAAACAATGGCTATGTCACAATATAGTAGTATTACCAGAGGGTGTTCTTCTTGAAAGAATCACTGCCAGACCACTTTGAACAGTTCTTTGACTACTTCAGGCACTGCCAAATAAGGAAGCCTTGGCATCTCTAATGGGAACCTCTGTCTGCCTAAAGTATCAGAATTCAACCCATCCCTTGAAAGTAGAGCTTGGAAATAACTTCAAACTACTCTGGAACACACCCATAGTTGTCTGATTGTGGAAGCTGAGCAGGGTTAGTACTTGAATAAGTGACCACTGGGTAAGATCTCCAGGGATGGAGTGAGGAAAGAATTCTACCTGAAACCATGGAGGTACAGTGGCAGTCAATGTTGACAACACTGAACAAGATAGATCAAGGATCTGACTCCGTATAAGGCACCTTCTTATGATACTAAAGTTACAGTATTGACTGGCCGTGTTAAGTGCAAGATTATAGGAAGAGTAGTCTAAGGCTAGAATCCTGTTGAATGCCCGTGAAGCATAATATTGCATCAATGTAGTTCCGCTCAATCTCCACTGCCCAAGCACAGGTTACAAAGGATCTGTTGAAGCCACCTTTTCCTGCACAGAGGTATCATCTTTCATAAACTCTTAAAAGCTCAGACAACTTGCACAGTGGATTGCTGCTTGAATAAAATTGCTGAACAGGATTCTGGAACTAGAGGTGTTCTGAAACAGCCCACCTAAATCTCTTCACCCCCTGAGGATTCACTGGTATTCTTTGTTAGATGGTGTGAAAAGTGCTTTGGAATGTAGAAAATGTGCCACTGGTGGTATGACCACAATACTGCACAGGGGACCATGACCTTATCTTGTTTCTGATCTTGGTACACAGCAGCTGTTGTACTATTAATAAACAAGCCAAGTAAAACACGGAGTTTGACAGCTAATGTTGCAGCATGATCAGAAGAAAAATATGGTCTTTGAATCAGTTTCATGGTGCTTATAGTTATATGTGCCTAGCTAGGCACCCTAAAATCTAGAAAAGCCATTCTGGGAAATTAACAGCATCCCCCAAACTCACAATAAAATTAACAATACCCCCTCCCCAAATTCACAATGATTTTGTAAAGGGCATTACTTATGAATTATGTTATTTGTCTTTAACCTGGCTCTTTTATAATTGCATGATATTTGCTGTTTTATCTGAATTAATCTTCAATTAGTACATTCTAAACAATTATTGTACATGGGATACATCAGTAAGCTAGAAAACTTAGTTGTTCATAGCTAAATGCCAAAGAAGAATTGATGCTTTTGAATTGTGGTGCTGGAGGAGACCCTTGAGAGTCCCCTAGACTGCAAGGAGAACAAACCTATCCATTCTGAATGAAATCAACCCTGAATGCTCACTGGAAGGTCAGATCCTGAAGCTGAGGCTCCAATACTTTGGCCATCTCATGAGAAGAGAAGACTCCCTGGAAAAGACGCTGATGTTAGCAAAGTGTGAAGGCAAGAGGAGAAGGGGACAACAGAGGATGGGATGGTTGGACAGTGTCATCGAAGCTACCAACATGAATTTGACCCAACTCCGGGAGGCAGTGGAAGACAGGAGGGCCTGGCGTGCTCTGATCCATGGGGTCACGAAGAGTCGGACAGCACATGTCAAAGAGATTTTTTTTTCCTTTTTGAAACAAATATATTGCCTTCATGGGCTTGTTATAATGGGTTTAAGAGAAATTGGCAAACTGACTGTTGCCTCAATCCAATACGACTAGGATCCAGGTAAACTGAAGAACCTTATTCACCCACATGAGCCTGCCCAGCTTCTGAGATTCTCAGGAGAGGACCTTCTCTTGGTCTATGAGCAGCCCAACCATTAGGTGGCCGGTCATGGGCAGAGTGTTCAGGGCTGGTAATGGAGTTGCCACCGTCTTCTACTCTGCCACCCAGCCAGGCACTGCCAACATCAGAATGCAGCCCTTTTCCTTAGGGGCTGTCTGCCCAACTCCAGTGTTGCTTCTTTTGGATAACACCAGGCTTTCTGAGGATCTTGAGGTTTAAGCGCTACAAGAGGGCTTGTGTGGTGCACACATGTCTATGTTATATGTTCTGAAGATCGGAGTGACTGTTTAACTTGTGTCTAGAGGTGGCTTTTCTTGCATTATCCCTATCACCAAGATAAACAAGCAGCCAGGTTTCCTTTTTCACTGCTGTTGAAGCACTACCACAATAAGGGATAATTTTTCATTCAATCTTTACCTTTCAATTACATTTCTGGTGAGACACACCTACTCATTTACTTTGCCACACCAAATAAACCATGTGTTCTAGCACTGACCAGTAGCATATGGGGGAGGGAATAATGCCTTGTGACTATGCTGTCTAAAAAATAATACATAGGATTTGTAAACCAAAAATATTACTTTTTAAAAAAAGAAACATAAAAACAGTTCAATGTTACAAGCTGCAACAATTTCTTTATCATACAGCTATATGTCCTTTACTTTCCAAACACATTCTGTTCTCTCTCTCATTACTTGTTTTGACACAAATTCACAAATTTTGACACACACTATTTTTCACAGCTTCTTTACAAAAACCGATCACTCTCTGCTCTACCAGCACAACTCTTCTTCTATCTCTGACGCCACCACCTTACAGCTTTTACTCTTTCTCTAACCCCTGCCAACACACTTATATACAAAACAGCATCTCTCCGGCCAGAAATCATTCCAGCCAATCAGTTCACAATTCAATTCACAAGCATTCTTCTACATCTCTCAACTGTTTTTAAAATGTCATTCCTGGCATACATCCAACCTACCACTGTCAATCAAACACCAGTCACTTACCATGCAAGCCAATACAAACCTCTATACAAAATATATTTACCTTGTAAAATTTCCACAGAAGACACAGGTGATTGATTTGACACCCCTCCCACAATGCCTTGACACTAAAGGACTCCTGAAGCTAGGTAGGTAGTATCTCAATAGCTGGCTAAAAAAACAGCTACAGTATGGAGGCAGAAAAGCACCAATTCTTCCTCCTGTTGTTTTCCCCACCCACCCCAAAGTATTACCACGTAGTGATGTGGGACATGGGCAACAAAGGATGGCATGGGCAGTGGGTGACCATTTTCTTTCTACTTCAAGTGGTGGGAGAGCTTTTGCTGGCACTGTCCCATCCCAACAGCCCCCACCAGCAGGACCAAAGTCAAACGGTATAGTTAGCACATCAGTAAAACAAGAAAGCATGTGCTGCGTAGTATCTCAATAGCTGGCTACAAGCAGCAAAGTTGTGTCTGAACAAGCAGAATGCAAACAAAGCTGGTGTTTACCTCTTGATAACTAATCACAAAACAAACAAGATATTGGAAATCAAAAACCTTTCTTTCAATTGCAAGTGCTTTGGGAACATGACTAGAAAGTAGGTTTAAATCGACCTCTAGCAAATGAAATGTACTAAATATTAGTGATAGCCATTTTCCCCCCACTTGCCCCTATCATCCCTTGATCATAGAGGGATGTTGTGTCTAACAACTCTTGACAGACATGCTTATTGAGAATTGCTCTAATCCTTTTTTTAAAAAGTCTTCTAAGTTCCTTGGCATTCCTTCACTTTGGGAAAGTGCGTTGCATGCATGAATTATGCACTGTGAAAAATATGACTTCATTCCTGTTGGTCCCAGACCTACTGCCAATCAGTTTTATTTAGTGACCACAAATATTTAACTAGGAATATTTACTATGGTCACATGGTTCTTCATTTTAGAGGTCTCTAACACTGGATTTTTTGGGGGGGTGTCTCTCTCTCTTTTTTTTTAGAAGACAGCCCTACACAGGGAGCTAATCCAACCTTGTACTAGTGTCTGATTGGTAGCATAGCAGTTTTTTCTTCTTTGCCCTTCTCCTTATGGCCCTCCATGCTACAGGGGGTGTTGAAGTTCTCCCCACCAGCTTTTAAGGGCTTACATGTTAGGAGTGGCAGACGAAAGGCTGAAATGCCCTCTCTTATTCCCACTGACAGAAACAATTCCATCAGCAGAATAACTCCATTGGGCCCTGGCCAGCATTTTTAGCCAACTCTAATTTTTGTTCCTCTTCCCTCCCTAAGGGGTTCCATCCTCGTCATACAAAAGGAAACAGACAAGAAACCCTCTGGTTTTCTAGCACTGGTTGCTCTTAGCACTTCAGTAGTTATACAGAAGAGCAGAAGGCAGGCTCGTACAATCTCAGCAGTAAGCAATATTATTTCATCGGTGAGCAATACGGGGTTAATGGGATTAATGCAGATAATGCTAAACTTACAGGCTAGAGAAGATGTGATCCATATGTTGAAGACAGAAAAAATCAGGCCTGAAGTCCTGGAAGCACACTATGGATCTGCTGCTCCAGAAAATGTCCTACGAATATTGCACAGGGATGCTACTCTTGCCCAGGAGAAGTCAGTTGGAGAAGATGTCTATGAGAAGCCAGTTTCAGAGGTAAGCATCTTTACTTTGTGTCAAGCTTCACCTCCATTTGCTGTTTCTTTTTGATGTTGTTAAACAGTGCCACGACAAAATATAGAAATGCTTCCCCTTTTACTTTCCTGTATCATGGATGACATGGGCAATGCCTACATTGATCCTTATTGTTTTATTCAGCTGTGGTGACAGTGGACTAGCACGAAACACATTTTGTGCATGTGCAAACAATTTCAGGTCAAGAAAAGGGACTGTAGGGTTGACATTCTATATAAACTCGGGTGAGATTCAGATAATATATATAGGATTATACTGTGAACCTGTGAATTTGACTCTAACTCATATTTTAGAAATGGCAAAATCCCGAGTAGCGCAGTGTCAGGGATGAAACTATGTGACATGGGTTGTGGTCATGAAGATAAGTGGCAAATTAACTGGGCCTTGGTCTTGCACCTGATTGTACTGATGCTCTATGCCAGTGGTTCTTAACCTTTGTTACTCGGATGTTTTTGAACTGCAACTCCCAGAAACCCCAGCCAGCACAGTTGGTGGTGAAGGCTTCTGGGAGTTGCAGTCCAAAACTAACCCAAGGTTAAGAACCATGCTACCTACAAGGCAGCTCTTTACATATTCCAAATCTGTTTGGCTGAGAATAACTCCTTGCTGCTTTACTGAGATGATCCGATCCGGACCATGTTGCTAAGTGATCCTTGTTAATATCCATCAATAAAGTAAGTAAGGGAACACGTCACAGCCATTCAGGTTCATTAGGTTCAAGCAATTGTCCAGAAACATTAAGCTGAAGGGACACTCGTTATCAGGATGCATGGAGTTCCTACCTTGTGTTACAGATCATATCTTGTCATTCCCTAGAAATAAGCATACTGACTAACTTCTTGATGGTCTATAATGGATCGTGATTACTGATCTTACCAGTAAAATTGTGTATTTTGAGGGTATGGATATCTAAAACAATTTATCTGATCCTTTGAAAAGCAAGAAGGGTAAATGTTAATTATGGCTGGTAGTGGTCTTGAGGTATTAAAAAGAAATAACCCATAGACATACTTTGCTTTTTGCCATTTAATCTTGAACCGGATGAGGAGATAGCCTTTAAATAAGAAATGCATGTAGATTTCATTCGGCCCCTTTCCGGAAGTGCATTGTCACAATCCACACTTCCCACACTACTTTACAAAGTGGAGTATAAATCTGCACACAGCTAAACCATTACAGTTATCAGAGGTTGATGCAGAGTGATGCGGATTTGCAAGAAAATTCATTTAGAAATGTGTATTTTCTGAGAAAATCCATTCCAAAATATACATTTACATATTTTAAAATCTGAATTTTCATACAGAAGCTTAAAAAAGAACAACAACAGATTAATGTATGAATGGAAGGGAGCGTGAATCAGGATAGACCAATGCTGGGTTTTAAACTTTCCTCCTAGTGAAATCTTTCTCTGCCTCTACTGAAATCTGCAGTGATATACTTGATAACCAGGCCATCGCTTTCATTCTGACCATCAGAGCCAAAAGCCCAGTTGATTGATATGATTAATATTTCACCTTCCTTCCTCCTCTGTAATTTGTCTGTGCTGACCAAAAGCAGAAATTGCAAAGTCTTTAAAAATGGTGTTTTTATTACTTATATCTCCTTCAGAACAGCAGAGGCCAGCTCACCTTTATGTAACACAGCATTCTTGTTCAATAGATTTACCACAATCGTCCAACAAAGTATTTAATTCAGTCAATTTTGTATTTCAATAAACCAGCTGAATAGACTAGAAGAAAAGCAGAAAGAAACATACCGGCGCATGCTCGAACAACTTCTCTTGGCAGAGAAATGCCATCGGCGCACAGTTTACGAGCTGGAAAATGAGAAGCATAAACATACAGATTACATGAACAAGAGTGATGACTTTACCAACCTTTTGGAGCAAGAGCGTGAAAGGTGAGCACCTGAGACAACCTGTTTAATAAGCTCTGCATTTCTAAAATTATTTTGATAGGAAATTAAGGATCTTTAAATAATATTTTGGCTGAATTTCAGAATGGCAGATAACTTAGCATAAATGGATTAACATGCCAAAAATTGTTTTTCCACATTTAGTTCTCACCATTTGTCAAACCTTCATGTCCAATCCAAATATAATGTCACTTAGATCTCTCTATAGTTGCTGTTGTTACTGTTATCATGCTAACATATTTAAGGTACGTTATTGCCAGAAGCTTTGTATACTATGTTCAGCTTTCATGGACTCATTTTATTCACTGGATTTCTTGTGAATGGTTTGAAATGTGTCTCGACAATAACCAAGCAATACATCTCTTCAAGAAGTGGTTTGGAGTAGGATGTACTAAATCAGATTTGGAGATATATCTGGTCATTCAGAGGTACACATTAAATGCACAGATCCGTCAGAAACATCAGTTTATGTCTGCTTCAATAAATAACCATCATTTTGAACAATCCTTCAGGACATCCAAGAAAGGAGAGCCAAGCCATCATCGGCTGCTTCATTATGGATGGTTTCAGTGTACAGTATTTTTGCATTCCTTTTTCTAAACCACCAGAGACCAATGGCTGATATATAAGACAACAGTTTTTAATGCTATCCGCCAACACTAATGTTAGTGTATAAGTACATCAATGAGACCCAAAACAGCTTGGCTTCTTGTTCAAGATCACTCCTACAAACCCTTCCTGTATAGTATCAAAACCTTAGTTTCATGCCCCTTTCTAATAATATACCCCTCATATAATTATGTGTGTTCATAGAGGTTTCCTGCAACGCTTTTTTTGGTGCTTCCGTGCAGAAGCAGAAGTACAGCAGAAGGGATGATATTGCTTGTGGTCTGTCATTCTGATTTGAGACCTTTTTATATATAAGACTGCACCAGCCGTGCACTCTGGCATCTGCCACATGCAGGGTTTTAGGGATGTGTGTGTTGTTCAGGGAGTGTTTTACTATTGCTGTTTCCCCTGTGAGCTTTCATGGCTTAGCAGAGATTTGAACCAAGGTCTTCTGAGTCTTATTCCAGGCACTCAAGCCATGACATCACACTGGCTCCCAGTAGAGGAGTTTAGCCTAGCAGTAATTCATCTCAGCTTTTGCATGACTCTTCCATTTTCAGTTTTAAAACTGCGGATAGTGATTTAATGTCAGAATTCTCTTAGCTCATTGTTCCTGAGGCTCTGTTCTTCAGCTGAAACAGCTGGATCTGAAGCACAGAAAAACACTGATTAGTTTCTTCCAGAGTCAGAGAGGGGAAAAAAATCATGTTATCCTGCTTAGGCACTAGCCTGCTAAATCTGGACTTTGTTAACACTCCTGGACCCCCATCCCCCTGAAAATACATCGCCATAATTGCATATGTATACTGGGAATTCTTCTACAAAAACTTCCTTTCACTCTTCCAGTGACATTTACTGCCATCCCTTCTCATCCCCAGCACCCCCAGCAAAGGAGGAACTGGCGAGTTTCTCGGTAGTCTGTGATAATACATTCTTCTCTGCTTCAGTCATCCTGGCACTGAGATGTTCCTTGGCTGCTCTTTGGGTGATGTAATGCTGGGACCGCATCACCTGCAAAGGAAACTGATCTGCAACTAATAAAGAGCCCGGCCGTCTTGAAACAGAAACGGGAGCACTGATGTTAGCGGATTTCAAACAACTCCCTCTCCACCTCCACACCCCTTTTTTGTGCTTTTGTTATTCAGGTTTCCATCTCTCTTCTTTCCCATGAGAAGCCAGCATCCAGCCTTTCTTCTTGAAATGTTTTCATTTCGCCCCACTTTATTTTATATACATGAGATGCAGAGAGAGGGTGAGGAAATGTCTGCGGAAGGCTAGAATTCGTTGAAAGACCTGCCCGCTCTGGTGCTCTGCAGATCTCTCTCTCTCTCTCTCTCTCTCTCTCTCTCACTCACTCACTCACTCACTCACTCACTCACTCAATCTGGAGGGGAGGGGTAGTTTACAGAGGACTGTAACAAAAATGGGAACAACAGAGAGAGAAGAGGCAATATTATCTTTGGTTTAATGACTAGTTGATGCTTACCCAAACCATACAGGCCAAGATTTAAATTACTACTTAGGCTTATGTGAAATTCTTATCTTCACTCAGTTGATTTAATTTTTTTAAAATGTACATGTTTTCTTGGAAGTGCTAACCCACATTCCTACTGTTTTGCAAAGCAAGCTCAATTTCATGCAGATGGTGTTGGAGTGTGTGTACGTGAGGGTGCAGTACATCTCCAAACAAGGATTTCGTGCTTTTCCCCAATAGCTTGACTCTGACGGTTGATTAACAGAAAGGCACTTTCCATATACTCAAATATATTTTCCTTTTATCATCATGTAAATAGGTACGTCGGTTTCTAGGTAGGTACAGCAATTTTCGGCAAGGTTGGTTATTATTCTCAGGTTCATTTCCAAGCCACCGATGTCCTGCTCTAACTGCAGTCTCTTCTTTTCTCCTTTTGAGTGGGGCGATTTGCTCCCTGCCTCTCCTGCCTCTGCCTCTTACCAACTCCTGGTCCCATTTATAAAACTCCTGTCATTGCCTGAACTCATCTATGACAAAAATAATCCACCCTGACTATTAAGTAAAATCAACTAGATTTATTTCAGGGGGAAAAATACATTTGGATTGGGAATATCAGTGTAGACTAAACAGTTCAGAAATCTAACATGGGGAAAGGCTCACACCCTCAACATGTGCCCCCTTTTTCTGCTGTCTCATTTTTTTTCTTGTTCTGCTCCTGTAGCTTTGAAGGCAATGTTACTATATAGAATAACGTTACTATATAGAATCATCGTAGGTGCAAGAGAAGGAAGTGCTCATCAGTGAAGATCATTTCAAATTCTGTAAGTTGGACTCAAGGGGCACTTTGAGCTAGATGTATTTTAACAGGAGGACATCTCTAACACGGCATTATCACCCCATAACAACTATCTGAGTGGCTGTAACTGTCTACAAAGTGTGGCTTTTTTAGTTTTATATTTCCTTTTCTTGTAACATTTATGCAAAACTTTCTGTCTATATCTACTAAAGAGTTGCTATTGTTATGAAGCCACTCCTGACTTAAAGCAAACTCAGTAAGATATATAAGAGGATCTGGGAATGGTTGACCACTGCCTTCCCAAGTTTCTATGACCCAAGTGGGGATTTGAACTCAGGTCCCCTATGCCCTAGTCCCAGAATTTATCCTCTGCCACCCTCTCTCTCTTTCACTGGAGTGAAAAGCCTTGTTATTTAGTTCATGGCTTTTTCTACCTTGCTTCCAGAAGAGGGGTTGGCGACAGGGAGAGCACGGTGGGGGTATTGTGGGGATCAATGGCATTGCACTTATTACTCATATTCCTGGACTTCAGTGATGAAAACTGGCAAGAACAAAGATACATGCCAACCGGTGTAATGTTTGGAGGGTTCTGGCAAAATACACAATCCTCTTTCATCGCTGCTTTCTGTTACTGGCAAATGTACAACACTGTCAACATTTTCTCGTGGCCATCCCCAGTATGCTGGATTTCTTGCTAAAACATTGCAGACAAAGGAAAGAATCTGGAGGACTTAAACTGGGTCAAACAATGACTAATTTCCTTTAAAGGTTTTCCAGTTGCCCTTATGAACCCACACAAACTGGCAAAGAGAAAAGAAACATAAAAATTGTAGTTCAGCTCCGCTTCATTTCAGTTAACCTTCAGGGTAATGAGTTCTAGAACCCAGGAACACTGAAAGTGGTTTCCAATGTCTGAGTGGTTCAAGGTAAAGGAAAAATCACTAGGTGATGGCCTAGTGGGAAGGGCTTGGCATGCAGAAGGCCCCTTGTTCAATCCCTGGGTAAAGGAAAAATCACTAGGTGATGGCCTAGTGGGAAGGGCTTGGCATGCAGAAGGCCCCTTGTTCAATCCCTGGCCTCTCCAGTTGAAATAATAAAATAGCAAGAGATGGAAAAGACCCTTGTCTAAGGCCCTGAAGAGCTGAAGCCACTCAGACCAAACTGTTCTGGCCTAGCTGTGTGGCATAATTTCTTAGGCAGTGAAGATTATGGCTTCAAAAGGGTTTCCCTGTTTTTTTTAATGTATTAAATAGAACAATAAAGCTTTTCCTGATTATTCGTGGTTTAATTTAATCTGGCACTTGTGCACATTTTAGATGGGGAGATCTTTGTCATGTGTTGTGGACTTTCAGGGAGCGATGATGGCTGTTTCACTGACAGCCTATCATCAGCGTGTCAACGTATTGTGCAATTTGGAATTGGTTTAATGTGCTTCAGAATTAAAATAGACAAGTGCCCTTAGTTTTGCAAGCAAGCAATACCACACTGTTTCATAACAAAAGCCTTTAACGGTAACACAAAAGGACAGAAATTGGACAGGTGCACGTCCCATAGCATGGAGGTAGAAATCCAAACCCCTTGTATACAGTACCTGCGTCCAGTGCAACTTTAAAAATAAATAAATTCAGCAGTTCTGGAAGAGAGAGACTGGAAATTGGCAACTCTGCTTAAAAGATATTAAAAAAGGAGGGCTTTCGTAACCAAAAAGGATGATGATTTGGCACTGAATTTTCAAACTTAAGTAGATATATGGAAATGCAATTATGATTGTATGTATTTACTATACTTTGGGTAGAAATGCTGTACACATGACCAAGTGCACAAAACATTGACATCTACTTGCCTTCTTTTTCATGAGCTCATGAGCAGGCATGAACATTATGTTCTCCTATTTTATATATTAGTATGTTTTTAAACTGCTTTAATATTTAGGTATCATGATGCTCTTTCAAGGTTGAAGGGTACTGTATGCACACACACACCCTGCAATCTCGTTATTCAGAAGGAGATAAAATGTTGCTCTTTACTGTCTTCATCCACACACTACAATTTCTTTTGTTTCAACAACGGCTAGGGACAGGCTCACACACTTTTAATAATGTATAC